CATATATATATATATATACACACATACACATACACATATATACTTTAAGAGTAAAACTTATTGAATTTTCGAGAAGTGTGTGTTATAAAAATATCAACAGTATTAGTTCAATTAATATAAAACAATGGATATATCATATTTATATATCATTTATCATTTTTTTCATTATGCACTTTCAAGCAAATAAAGAAAATTTGCAAATACATCTATATAGAACTTTGCTCTCATTTATCAATTAAAGATACAATGTTATTTGTTGATTATTTTTTTTTTATTTGAATTATTATTGTCAAATATAATAATATACTGATTTAATTAGCAAACACAGAAGTATATTCTTTTTGCCAATATTGATAGATAATACCTACATCTTACGTAACTTGTTAATGGCTGATTTTAAAGTTTGTTTCCAAGTTATTTGTAATACAATGCGCAATTTTTACTATTATGCAAATACATGTTAGAATATATTCTAGCAATTTGTAGTATGTATCTTAAAAATTAACTGGATTGTGTTACTTATTCGTTCTATAATATACAGAGTGATTCAAAAATACTTATACAAACTTTGGGAGTGAGTTTTCCACACATAAAACAAGAAAAAAATGTTATACACATATGTTCAGAAATACTTGGTTTATGAGTTATAATCGAAAGATTACTTTCAACAAAAACTGACAGAATACATCTACAGTATCACATGACCAATATAAAACATCTTCAATTCAATTGTTTATCTACTTATAATTCATAATAAATGCTTAAAATGTCCTCCACCTGCTTCAGTGCACGTATAGACACATTGAATCATAGACTGTAACAGACCTTTTCAAAAATCCCATGAAAGTTGCAGATAATTTTGCAGATCTACGATACGTTGGCGAAGCGTCTCTTTATTTGCATAAACTAGAGGGCTTTTAAGTGTCCCTACAGATAAAAATCTAATGGATTTAGATAAGGTGAACGTGCAGGCCTGAAATGTATGTGATATTTTTTTCTTGTTTATGTGTGGAGAACTCACTCCCAAAGTTTGTACAAGTATTTCTGGATCATCCTGTATATATATATACATATATATAAATATATATATATATATATATATATATATATATATGTATGTATATATACATACATACATATAAAGGAGAGTCCCCTATTATGAGATAGCGGGGTTTCTGCTAAATTAATAGGTCCCATCTGTTGGTTCCATCATGAATACACTTATTGCCTTTACGGTGAAATCTGTTTAGTAGAAAATTCATTACATTTTTAAATTCTGCTCATAGACTTCCGGCAATCATACAAAATGAACTTGGTATCTCATAATAGGGGACTTTCCTCTATATATTTACATAGAAAAGAAATAAATGTACTAAGGACAAATAATTGAACTGATTAATGTCATTGTTAAATAATTGTATTGCTGCTTTATGAATCCTATATAAGACATTAAAGATATACAATAACAGTATAAACAGTATAAAAATGAACAACATGAAAAAATAGAAGTGTCTCTTTTATACTATTTTATTAAATTTAAATATTGATACTGTATATCACACACATGAGAGTTTTCTTTAATTCTCGTTAATAGATATGTCCTTTACAATTAGGAATACCCATATTCTAACTGTGAAAATATTATACATTTTCATGTAATAAAAAAATAGGATTTAAATTAAAAATTTTAATTTATTTGATTACCATGACAAAAAATTATATATCGAACTATAAGATTTATTTCTATGATATGTTTTCATTTCATTCATTTACCATATTATTATATTGAATTAAATGTACTTATACATATGACTGCGACATTCTATACAATTCAGTCCTTCTCCGTGTATACTTGCGTGATTTCGCGTACAATGGGATTTTGGAAATACGTTGATTCGATAATAATCTAAGGTTTGCTTTAATCCAGTCGTGATTACATGGCAATGAACCTCGCAATGAACTTTTGCATCTTTTGTTGTATCCATAAATTCTCTTCGGTAACAAAGATGTACGGTAGTCTATAAAATTCACTTCTTTCTCGCGTACATGAGAAACGCCAGAGTGTAACAATTTATCGTATTCTCTAACTGAATATTTATGATACATATTTTTTGAGCATTTATCGACGTTCGCCATCCAGAAAACGTGGGCATCGCGTACGCATGTCTCCTTGTCCAATTTTAGAATACCTTCGCTATTATTAGACTTGATTACGCGAATCAACATAGGCTCGCGATTTTGAGTGGCGACACTTATCTTTTCCTCGAAACTGGGATCGGTTACAATGCCTGTATCTTGTAATTGCTTCGGAGTATATTGAGTTCCCGATTCACGAAGTGATATCTGCGGCAATGACACATTCAAGCCGATATCATGATTCTCTGTACACGCAGTAATATCTTTGTCCTTGACAAAAAGTTCTTCTGTCATTGTTTCTGCGTATGTGGCACCATTTTTCGAAAGACTGTGATCTCTAACTTTCGATATGGAAGGTCTATACAATACTTCTACATCTTTCGAGTTGGCAAAAGAGGCTGTAAATGGATCTATAGCAGCATCCTTCTTTGTATCTTGAGTCTGAACCGAATTTACAGTAGAGTTTCGTTTCGAAGGAGGGCATTCACTTTTTGATTTGGATCTAGAATAAAACTTATTTAATAACTGCCTCTTTGAATAATCCACGAGTGTATATATTTTTAAAATTTCGTCTGCATATTCTTTTATTTTATTTAAAACGATAAAAGTATTTATCTCATCTTCTTTTCTTATACAGCTCTCTTGCACTGAAAAAGATTACATTGAAAAGTTTTAATATACCTCTTTTTAATAAATACATTAATTATATAGATTCACTATTTATAAAATGTTCAAAAATACCGACCATTCTTGCTATTCAATTCAAGAGCATGTTTTATTAACTCCAAGCAGGTTTTTATAAACATTGTTATGGTGTTATCTTCTTCCGGTTTTTCCAAACACGATAAACAACTTAGGCTTTCTAATTCAACAGCAGAACTACTGCCAAAATGTATATTCTCATTTGCATATTTTGACAGAATTTGTTCACAAGCAATCATCTCAGAAGCTGTGTAAAAGATATATTGTAACATATAAATACAGTTATAATATGACTTATATGATCATAAAATAAACTAAATCTATATATTGCTGCGAGGAATTATAATCACTACTTACAATTAGAATTTACATTATCTCTGTTCGATAAGAGTGACGTAACGGAATAAATTTTTGTTCTTTCTTGCATAACTTTTTCCAAGCATTGAAGTAAAACTTGTGTTATTACAGAATTCTCTTTGATAATCTCCATTATGTCGCTAGAACAGGTTTCTTTAATACAAACTTCATTTTCAACGAATTTTTTGTCATCTAACTCAAGATAAGCTTTCTCCACTCCTGAAGAAATATCAGAAAGTAGATTAACAAAATGCTGTTTATACATCATTTATAAATATTTTTCTTTACAATTAGGCAAATCTCATTACTCATATCTCAGTAAGATCAAAAATTAAATTAAATTTTTACAAATCAAGTTTGACGTGATATATCTCTTAAGATATTAATTGAATATATATCTTGAGATTTAAAAACCTTTCTGATCATAATCACCAGAGTCTTTCTGGCATTTATTAGTTGCCAATTCCTTCCAATCTCTTTGTATCAGTGGTAAATTATTTCTATCGGTAGTTATTAATATAAAATTTGGCATAGAGCCTCCTACGCTCTTTAATTTTATACCAATCGTATTTCGCATGTCGTTAGCGGGACATTCCACAGTATTTGTATCAATTTGCTTTGCTTTTCGTGTCGAAGAACATTTTTGAGAAGCCTGGCAATTACTTAGACTCGCATAGATGGTATTCTGAATTTCCTTATCACACTGTTGTGCAGTATTTACTGCTACTTGCTTCAACTTTTCCTGAGATGTTAAAGGCTTACTTTGGATTTCTCTATAACACTTTCGTATAACATCTGTTTTCGTCTTTGACATGCAAACTGTGTTTTGTATTCCTTTATCGTATTGTTCGACACTAGTCCCTACTTGCTTCGTTCGTTTTTCTGGAAATAATTGTTCACTTGGCAATTGTATTTCTCTTGTACAGGATTTTGATTTGGACGTAATAATTGGTCTCGGTGTCATCTGTTGATTTATGTAATTGCGAGTGCCTTGCGGACAGTGAGTTGTTAATATGTCTTCAGGATAGTCGGTATAACTTGGTAAACTGCTAGGAAAGCTTGGACATGGAATTATATTATTATATTTTCCTTGATACATAGTATCTGTTCGGTATCGATCTGCTTTGTGTCCTTCATAAGATTTATCGGCGAAATCGGAGTATTCTGGACAAGGAACCGCGATATCTAATGGTTTTATTTGTTCATAAGTTTTTTTAGCAGTTATACTCAATCTGTTAGATCTTACATCTTCCCAACCACAGGATGGACACTGCAGCAATTGCACATCATTCTGCCTTTCGCTTTTGCGATCTAATATATCAAGATTCTCTGGCATATATGTAGTGTTTGAATGCAATAAATAAATTGAATATTTAATAACCGCAAGTTTAAAACAGAAATGATTATTTCTTAAATACTTCTTTACCTGTTTTTGTAAATTTAGTGTTTTTTCTTGGTTTTGTCTTATAATCTTGCTTTGTTCCTTGCATACAAGGAAAATTAGATGCACTTTTATATTTGTCGTATGGTTTTGTAACACAGTCTTTTAAAGGAGATATTGTTTCTACTGATTCCATTCTGTTCTATCCATAATAATAATGTAAATAGTTAATTAAATTAAAATCTTTAGTATTAATATCTCAGTGTTTGATTTAACAGTATAATTCATAAGATTTAAAAAAAATTTATGTATTTTTGAAATAATTTATGTATAATGTATCCTTTTTTTGCACGAATTACATATATAAATTATATATATTACCTGTAGCTTGTCTTCTTCATCAATCACCTTTGTTAACATCCCAGCTATTACAGGAAACCAAGCAAAAGGAGATTTGTACGGTTTGCCCGATTGAAATCCCTTGATAACTTTTATTTGTTCTTGTCCATATCTAAGATGAGAATAACGCTTTTGAAACTGATTCAATCTGGATGAATAAAAATCGGATATAAATCTTCATATAAAAATAAATGAAGATTTCTATCATTTACTTTTTTCTCTTATTGCTTTTACTTTTTTCTTATCACTTTAATTTGCTCTAGACAATCGGATATATTTAATTCGGGTATATTAAGTTTTTTAATGATACTCTTCAATGCTTCATTTTTGGCTAAACAATCATAATATTTCACATAATATGGATTCCAAAGACATAAGTGCTCCCGATATGCATTTAAAAAGACGAGAGTGAAATTTTCGTTCCACTTAAAGGACATAATTATCAATATATAACAACACGGAATTAAGATTTACATATTCTATAGACAGAAAATTTGCACGACAACCACATGAAGGAAACTGCAATTCTTTGTAAAATCTTAAGTGAATACATCTGCTTATCAATATTCGATATAACAAAAGTTTTCTATTATCTGAAAATAAATAATCAGCACAAAATCATATGTATATAATTACTTTATTACTTATATACATACATAATTAATTTATAACTATATTTACTTAAATACTTTTTGCAAAATATATTTGTTTTACACATTGATAAAAGTATTGCAAAACAGATCATATTATTTGCATTTTCTAATGTATTTATTAATATTTTACTGGAGAATTTATTGCCTATATATCTATATATAATATATCACTTAACTTTAAATAATAATTTAAACTGAGAATATTGATTGCAATCACGTTGGTACTTTATTGCCAAAAATTTTTTTTCCTCTCTTGCCTATTGCTTGTAACAAAATCCAAATTCCTTGCTTTCTTTGATTTTAGTAAGTAATAAACATTCCTGTAATGTTAGACCGCAGCTACAAGTTTCATCTTTACATATTACATTACAGTCGTTACAATCGCAACAACAAATTGAGCTACTACTCTGGTCCGTTAGTTTAGATTCTAAGATTTTTAATCGCGCTTTTGTTATCAAATTTTGTATTTCCTTTTCCAATTCCATAACAGTCTCTAAAAATAAGTTATGCTAGTTCAATAATGATAATTATTTCCTATTATAATCAACAGATTTTACTTACGAATGTCAATAGTTCGTAATTGAAACGCTATGCTTTTTCCAAATATGTCAAAGTTATCTTCAATTTTTTTCCTGCCATGCACTTCTAAAAGAATATCATCCATGCATGTAGAACTATCCTGTTACAAAAGATTTTACATTTTTTTTCCATTCTTTCTCTTGAAAAATCGGCAATATAAATTACTTGCTTATTTAGTACATATAAACCTTTTTTCCTCCATTGTCGCCTGCGACATATTTTCGCTCCTATTAAAATTGTAACATTGTAATAAAAATATAAAATTATCGAAAGTATTTGTATCTTATACTTATTAATAATGTGTCTCTCATATTCGTTTCTAACGTGAAGCAAATCCGTTTGCGTTTCGTGTTCTGCAATAATATCATTACTCGTTTCTGTCGCTACATCAATCGTTTGAATAGTTCCAGAAGGGACGAGAGCATCTTGCAATTTCGGAACAGAAGGAATGGTATCTCTGTATTTGAAAAATATTTTTGTATTTTATTTTGTGATGCCTTATAGAGTTACACAAAATAGATATATAAATAACAAATTACCTCAATTTTAAACACAACTCGATCTCTTGAAGCTCACACATTCCACAAGTATTACATGAGCAAATATGTTTGCCCTCTGATTTCTCAAAAGATGAATGCAAAAATTTATTTTGAATACTGCCATCATTAAATTTTTGATAATTGTTATCTTGCTGCAAATACGTTCGTGCATATTATAAATATAATATAAAACAATATACGCATTACAAACATGAACAAAATATGAACATAACTTACAATACATAATTTTAAAAAATAATGATATTTATCATTATATAACTGCTACTACTTTATCATATAAATATAATTTAGCAATCAAACCTGTATAATTATTTCTCATATACTATTCTGTTACATCATACCTTCCTAAAATTATTATAATGAGATATTGACATGTATGGAAAGAAGAGCATGTGCGTCGTTTTAAACCACTTCGCTTTTGGCGCATACAATTTTTCACAAGAAATAGCTGCAGCAATTTTTGATAGTTCATAACAGTATTCTTTTTTTACATTTTGAATTCTCTTAATACAATCACATATTGTTAATCCAGGAATATTCATGGAGTTTCTTATCTCCTTGTACGCTTCGTAACGCAATGATTTGCTATTGAACTCAGAATGAAATGAGTTCCACAAACATTGATATTGTCCATAAAGTGCTATTAATTTCTCAGTATCATCCTCAGTCCATATATTTGGCATATTAAAAAAATATTTTATGGTAAACTATAATTAGGTTATTTAACCTTCTCAATCAATACTATCAAGATAAAACAATTTATTTAAACATATAAGCTTGGGCAAGATTTGCATTCAGCTGGTGTTTTTTGAATAGTGTGTATGACTACCAAAAGGAAAATATACCATAAATGTTACAATACACTTATTCATTGTACTGCTCGATTACGAATACACAGAAATTTAGAAAGAGGACATAAAGAAAAAGATGAATGATACTTGTATCATTAGGTCTGTTTTTTATAGCTGACTGGTTGAAACTTGAAATAAGTATATGTTTAAAATTTGACGAAAGCGGGAGAAGTTCTAGTGCAGTCCAGCAGTGCAGCAATAAAAAACAAACCTAATAAAAAAATTAATGAAAAGTTTGAAAGGGAAATCAGACCAGTTTCAAATATATCTTCATACATATTTCCTTTTCTTCTATCACACATTAGCAATATAAATATAAATTATTGTACATTTGTTTTGTAAATTTTATAATCTTATGTTTATATGGCAATATATATCCTTTATTGTTATCAAGTATGCAATTCCTAATTTATAACAATGCCTCGTATATTCAATTCCATTTTATTGCTACCATTTGTTTTCTCTATTGTAATAGGAATTCTTTTTAGATTTCAGCAAATATTGGTCGTTTTGTTAAGTTTGCAAACACGGGCGGATTTATAGTTAGAAATATATCGTATTGTTTTTTGATTTAGTAGCATGATTAAAAAATAATAAGTACTACAATTGTTATATCATTATATATGTTTAAGTCTAAAGTTACATGTATATATCTGATACTACGTACTTTGAATGTATCATATAGCAAGTTCATCATAATTTATATATGATAATAATCGATTATTTCATAAAATCAAATAATTGTATGATCTCTTTCATGGACTAAGAGAACTGATACTTGATAAAATAACTTAAAAAATTTATACACAACGAGATCGTTGTGTAACAGACATTACTGATAACCGAGTTACGTAATTAAACAGTAAGTGAGTTTAGTTTTCTTTTCGAGAAAAATATATCCTATCTTCTGGACAGATTAGCTCAACTATCAACGATATACTACGTTATTTATAAATTATATACAGTATTATTTTTGTATATAATAATTATATATCCTTTACTCTCATGATTAATGTTAATCTATATATTATTGTATCTTACTGTGCTTAAATCTATATTACACGCGTTATAACTGTTCTTAAGAAGTTGTTCTTAAGAAGTCGTTTCAATTGTCGAAGACAATGTAGGTAGCTGCTGTGGGACGAAGTTTACAACCTCATGATACACAAGTTCTACAAGTAAAAATATCCATTACCCACAATGTGGCAATGGTTTAAATTAAAATAGGAATTAGTGAAGATGCGTTACCTTTCCATTTCTCTACTGGAAGATCCATATCCTCGAAGCTCTGGTCATATGGTAGAGAAACAGGTTCGTCAGTTGGATCTGCATACTGTGCAAGGTATGGATGTGCTAAAGCCTGTTCCGCTGTGATCCTTCTCTCTGCATCCAATTCCAACATCAGTTCCAGTAAATCAATAGCTAAACAAAAATTTAATGATTCTGATGAAATGCATCATTTGACATTTATCAATATAAGTCACCAGACATTTTTGTTATTTACCTAAAGGATTAGCTCCACGAAATACCTCTTTAAAATTTTTTTTTTTTAACGGCGGCAAACTTTGAATATAATTTCTGGCCTGTAACAGTAATTCAATTACGGTAAAAAAACTCATATCGCCATTTATATAAATTAATCTGTATCCTATATATGTATATACTGTATATATTTACTAGAGATATATATTTACTATATATTTTTTTCTTTTCGTATGTTTTATATATCTTTATTTTCATATAAATCTCTCAAAAGATTTAAAAAAACATTTTTGTGACATAGTAAAATCATACACTTTAATATGAAGCATTATAAACAAAATATAAACATAAACATCATAAACTAGATATCAAATTAACCCTTAAGGACGTTCTCTTGTCTTTATACTAGAGAAAATCGATTTTCTTAGGATTTTCTTGAAACTGTGAATATA